AGGTGCTAAAAGCCGAGCCCGGGGGCGAAAGCTCTCCATTTGTGTTTTTCCATTCTTCTAACTGTACCCTCTGCAGCTGTTTCTTTGGTTTTACAAGCTTTGCTCAGAAATGTTTTACAGTCAAAGCACTGAAATGTTGCTCTTGCTGAGCCCTTGAGTTAAGGATATTCTTGTGGTTTGAGGCACAATTTGGGGAAGAATGTGGGGGACGAGTACTGCGAAGGGAGGGATGGTCCGGTGATTTAAGTACCAGCCATTCTTGATTTCATAAGAGTCAGATGCTTGAATGCCTTGTACGTTTCCAGATGTTGCCTTTTCCTTAAATCTTTTGCGCTACCTTGGTCTCACAGGCCTTTTTTGAGCTTCTGGTTAGCCATGCCGTATTAACTGACCTCAGGGAAATGGAGGCCTTGTTCTGGGGTGGAAGGTAGTAGACGTTGAGGTGGACTTGCTACTGTTATGCACAGCTCATGTATATTTATAGAGCTACTTGTATTTATGCAGCTAGAGCAGACTAGTGGAGGCTTTCTCATCTTTGTCTTCTTTCTAATGTGGCCTCCAGTTTGTGTTTGTCTCAATCCTTAAAATCTCCAGTTTGGGGTAATCACAATTGCTATTGCTTCAGATTTTAATTACAATCAGCCTGTTTAACTTGACCATCCCTCAGCTCCCTGAACGTAGCTGTTCTTATCTTAACCTTGACGGGAGAGAAGAGCAGAGGTTCACCGGCTTCTAGGAACTGTTAGTAACTTTGGAGAGTACCCTGTCTTTTTGTCCATTCCTGGTCCATCTTTATTTTCCAGACTAAGCCAATCCAGCCTGTCCAACCTTCACTTGCTGAGTTGAGCTTTCTCTATCTGCTGGTGAACCCCCGGGGTGGTCCTCTTAAGTGAGTGCATCAGGCAGGTAAAACCAAGTCCATACACTGTGTTTTGCCTCTTGCTGACTCTTAGTCAGTCCTTACCGTAGGCTGCTCCGTTTTAGCAGCCCTTGTTGCTTCTAGGTGCCAGAGGAGGGCCAAGGTATGTACCCTCCAGGCCTTGTTTCTCATTCCCAGGGCATTTCTGTCGTTCTTGTCTTAATGGGCCCCTTCAGCTGACCTTGGAGTTCCAGCTTAAGCCATGGCATTAAATCAGCTCTTTTTTAGCAGCCATTTCATTCCTCCATCAGCAGCTATTTCAAACAGAGGGCCCTTACAGCATAGGCAAGTTATGCACCTCCAGACTAACATCCAGGACTTCGTAGCCTTTGCAGTCTGTCTCTTTGCATTGGGCATTATCAAAGCATTTGAACGTCTGAGCCCAGGAGGTCACTTTCTATCTATTTCTGGTCTCAGCTGAAGTGTAAGGAGATGGTTTGGTGATGGGGTTTGTTTTTTTTTCTTTCTTATTAAGGCTATTTCTTCCTGAAATAGCAGAATGGAAATAGTAACTCATGAGCCATCCAAAAAAAAAAAAAAATAAAAAAAGATAGGTCTATTTGTGTTTCTTGCTGGTTTTATTTCTACCTGGGAGCAGGCACGCGTGTGCTTTCAGTGTGGCACAGGGTTCTCAAATGCTTAGTCCTTGAATAGTACAAAACCAATCATCTGTGATCTGCTGGTGAAGGTCAGCTTTGGACCAGCACATGTTTGGAGTTCCTGTGTGAGAAGGGCGAGCTGTTATTCCTGATCCTGATGCAGCAAGTCTGCCTGACGGAAAGGTCAATTTGCCATAGAAATCTGGGTTTTACTCAGGTAGGATTCTTCAGTAAAACTTGGTGTGACCCTCCCGGAGTTGCAACTATAGTTGTGAGCGCTGAGGAGTTACTTTTGCTCCTCACCATTTAATAACTGTTGCTCGTGTGTTGTGTAATTGCAGCGTGCATCCTCCAGAGTGGGTGTTGACGGTGAGTTTAATGGGTGCAGGCTGAGAGTAGGGAGGAAAACTCTTCGTGGCAGGTTACTGTGTTTTGATATTTTCTTTCCAAGTGTCCGAGAACATCAGTTGCACTCCCAGGGAGGATGCTGAGCCAGATGGTCCGGTCTTGACAGCTCCTCTTTTCCCCGTGCTTTCGGGATGGGTCCACACACTGATAAACTGGCAAAAGGGAGCCCAGAACGCAGCAACTTTAGTCTTCCTACCATTTGCACCCCGCTTTGGTTTCCCTTTCTTCTTTCTTGTCCCCTTTGCTGGCGAGTCTCTTTTTTTTTTTTTTTTTTTTTTATGTCTCCTTTATGGTTTTGGGTGCCTCTTCCCCCTTTCCTAGCAGTGAGTATCCTGCCACCTGAGCACCGTGCGACGGGGCAGGCTGTCATCTTCTCAGGAGCTCGCATGGAGCTGTGGCCCACGTCGGCTCAGGTGGGGCAAAACCAGCGGAGCCGTTTGCAGATCCTGCCCTTTGCTTCCCACAGTGGCAGGCAGTGAGCTGCCACACTAAGTCAAAAAAAAAAAAAAAAAAATCCATCAATGGCGTTTCGCAACTGTGGGAACTAAGGCCTGTAAGCACTTGCATAATCACAGTGCACATGTGATCAGATTTATAGGTGTTACTTTTAGGCCTTGTTGCCTGGTTTTGGTGGATTTATAGAAATAAATGAGCTAGAAATGGTACATTGTTTGTACAGGGCCTTCCAGCATTCGTCAATTCTCAGTTTGCTCTTGAGCTGTCTGGAAACATGTGCCGTATCCTCTAAGTTCAGCTTTCACTCTGCTCACTATTTGCTTGATTTTATTTATTTATTTATTTTGCTATTTTAGGAACATTCCTAAGAAAAAAGAAAGCTTGTTCTTTGCTTTCTACAAGCTTTTAAAGGATGGTAAGTGACTGTTGCTGAGATGAATTTCAAGTTCAGTCTGATCTCCCTAGACGCAGGGTTTTATTGTTTGCAGCTCTGTCCCCATGTCTCTGAACTTCTGTTGCTTGTCAAATATTTTCTCAATTAGGAAAGCAGGTTGTATAAGAAAACATGTTAATGAAAAACCATGTTAATGAAGGCTCTTGCCCCTAGAGGAGCCACAGTTTAACACTTTAATTTGGTTGGGGATGGCTGGAGGGTTTAACATGATCCAGGTTGTTAAACTCTACTGATGGCTGGAGATAAAAACCCTTTTAAGCAATTGTATTTCAAATATAGCCTTTTCCCAGGCAAGACTGTGCTGTGACATTTTGTCCTCTAAGACAGGAGGAAGCTATGCTTCGGATCTCTGGCGCTATCTTGTAGCAACATCAGTACTTGGGGTCCCTGGTGAGCCTGAGTGCAAAGGCCGTGCCCCCCCATTCCCAGTGCCATTACTGGGATCACCAGGAACATTTTCCATCCTCCAGTAAGACCTTGCTTTGAGACATAACAGGCCTCACTGCTGTCCCAAGGCTTGTTTTCAGGGTTTTTTTTTTTTTTAATGGTCTTTGCTTTTGCAGCTGACGTTTCCTAGGTGTGCATCCTTCAAGACCTGCAGCTAGGCACCTCACCTCGTGCTGAAGAAGGGAGCATCACGTTGCAGCCCTGCTCCTGACGATGGCTACCTGCCGTTCCTTTGCCCCTGGTTACCTTTAGGTGTTGCTATTCTCGACTCGCCGCTCGTGTTGTCCCGGTTGCGTGGGGGAAAGACGCCCTTGGCCCGAATGCCTCGCCTGGGAAGAATGCAGACAGTCTGGCAGAGCGCAGGTTAAATAAAGTTTGCCTTGGCAGGGCCCATGCTCTTGGATGTACTATGAGCTGCCGGGGCGTAGTGGTGACGGAATTGCAAGCACGAACACCAGCTGCCAAGAGGAACGGGTCTCCTGGCCCTGCTTGCAAACTCCTCTCCTCTGGGACTCTTGAAGCATTGGTGAAATCACAAGCCTTCTCCCTACCCAGCCCCCGTGCCGACGCTCCCCCCTTTGCTCCGGAGCCTCCCGCCGACGAGGACAGCAGCAGCAGGGCCATCGCCACCGGTGCTGCACCACCCACTCCTGATCTCCCTAAATTGTTGGGGACCCTCCCGTTGGCCTCTGTGGCGTCAGGGGTTCATCCGCTGGCCTCTCCTGGCTCTGGGGAGGGGGGGAGTGGAAGATTTTAAGCAGTGGCGAGTTCTGACTGACAGCTGGTGGCTTTTGCTATTACACGGGGAAGTGATTTCACGCCTGGGAGAGAGGGTCTGCATGATTGATTTAGAAACTCTCCCTGGCCAGCACGTGGGTGGTGTGGACACATCTCCCCCCATGCAGGCTGCAAACGCCTCTGAGCCCTTACGTGGAGCAGCATTCCTGCGGCCTCGGGATTTGCAGGTTGTTACCGTATAAAGGGCACGGTCTTGGCCCAGCAGGAGGGCTGACCAGCAGTTTTGTTTGGCAGGTACCTCACTTTCCTTTTAATAGAGGTTTTGGATGGGAGCAGCGATGATTTCATTGCCTGCCACCGGTGGACAGAGCAGGGCTGGACAGCAGGGAAGCAGGGGGATATTCTTGCCATGCCATTACTGGAGCGTGTGTTTTGGTCTCCAGGCAAGACACCCTTGACTCTTCAGGTAGCAGAGGGACCAATGCGGGCAGTGCTGGTTGCCAGACCACGCTCGTGTCCTTCCAGTCAGTCGCAGGGGTTGTTTTAGAGTTAAAACACAAATTTTGGTGGTTCTCCCAGCTCCTTCTTCTGTCTCTCATCTGCTTGTGCGTGGACATAACTTAGGAAGTTAAGGCCAGTCATATCCCTGCGCTGTGCTCCCTTTAGGGACCGGTTACTCATTTGGTTTCCTGCGGGCAGCAGGGTAGTGGAGCTTTTCATGGCTTTTGCTTTTCCACTGTGACTTCACATTAGTGTTCCTGTCTATAAGATGAGGAAGGTTTACATACTTCTAGTGCACAGGGAAACTCAGCTAATTAATACTTGTGAAAATGTTTAACGTATAGACTTGGAAACTGCATGTTAACTTACCCAGCAAGCTAATGTTTTCTCACCAGGGCCTCTGGTCGTCGGAAAGCTCATGATTTGGTACCGAGCTTGACTTTTCCTGATCTTTCTTTCTCTTTCCCTGTGCCCACAGGTGGCTGGAAGTCCAGGTGGTCAACCTGACCTGCACCCAGCGTTGGGTCCAGTACCTCCAGTTGCTACAGGAATCCATCTGGCCTGGAGGAGTTTTACCAGCAGTGCCTAAACCAGCCAGGACAGAGGAACAGAAGAAAGCAGCAGCAGAGCAGGCCCTGCAGAGCCTGATGGGGATCTTACCTAGTAAGTGTGCCTCAGAGATGTGCCAGCTGCCCTTGAGAAAGGAGCCGTGGAGGGGGGAGGCTGGGGAACCCTGCAGTGCGTTGGCATCTCTGGCAACGTGGTTCAACCCAGAGATGGGAGTCTGCTCGTGCCAAGGCACCGAGAAAGGTTTCTGACCTTTGAGGGTTTGAATGGTTTCCTGCAAGCAAAACCCACAGCTTCCTGGTTCTAGAGAGTTTGCCTAGGCTGCCGGGGAGCAGCAGAGCACGGAGGGGAAGGACCCACGTCTCGGTGATTCCCAGGTGCAGAGTGGCCACGCGCTCTGTGCTTAGTGCTGGTGGTGCGGTTCCCGCAGAGCCACCTCGGACGAGGTTGGGCTCAGGACAGGCAGCGCCACGCTGTGCTCCCACCCGCTGCCGAAGGGTAGCGTGGCTGAGAAGAGGGCTGAGGCAAAGCCTTTGGCTTCTCGCTCTAAAGAGTGGCTTTTCCACTGGCCTGCAATCATGAGCCCAGCTGCACTGGATTTCCCTCTCTTCAAGTTTGACACGGGGACCTTTGGCATTAAAGCAGCTGCTGCCTAATCCATGTGAGTGCAGCCTGAACTTTTAACTCCTTGCTGCATCATCAGGGGCCTTTGCTATCCTTTGGGGATGAGAAAGCACTACCAGTATATGCCCTTCCACCCTGGAACGCTTGTCTAGCATTCAGTGCTGTCCCTGGCTGTTTTCTGGTCACAGTAATGTTGGGCATGAGATGCTTCAGGCTCAGAGCACCGTCACAACCTTTGATTTAGCACCCACCAGCAGAAGACCGACCCTGGTTTTACTACCATGGAAATGTGCAGTCCCTAAAGCTTTGTCTCTGACGTTGGCAGATGTGATCCAAGAAATCCTTGGAACCAGTAAATGTCGGATGAGCTGGAACCTGGTTTTGGAGTCCCTGGGCCAGCCTGTGATAAACAGGTATGTGGATTTATAGTCTCTTTACCCCGATAGCCTTTGCAATGGGGCCTGTAAGCTACGCTCGGGGCTTCGCCGTGAGATTCACGCTGCCAGCTTCTTGGCACAGAACATAACTGGTTAATTATCCTGGACTTTATACTATCAAAGGGCATCTGGCTTGCTTATTATGAAGGTGCACGTCTAGGACCTCGGTCTGGTTGGAGGTTATTGAGCACATCTTGTTAATTATGTTGGGCCTGCTTAGTTTGTGGATGTCAGGGGACTGTCAGTGGAAATAAGACAAATCCTGGTTTAGTCTGTTGTTTTTAGAGGAGCTTAGGGAGCTGCCTATATGTGTAGATAGTGGTTTTCTGTATACCCATCACTGCGCGTTTGGAAAGCAGTGTTTTTGTGATTAACTGCAGAGAAATGCATATGCCACCTCAGGCCAGGAGATGCATTTGTGTTTTCTGTGCTGCTCAGTGGCTTCAAGCACCCGCTGGTTCATAAGGGTGGAAAAAAACCCTGAACCATCCCTTAAAACATTTCTTCTAGGGTATGAGATCTTTTGGTTTTCCCCTGATGGCAGTCAGAATACTTCTTCCTTGCGTGAGCCTTGGCTTCTGCATGTCTGGAGCTGATTTCCCAGCTTCGCTGTGCCCTGACCAGCCTAAGCTTTGTCTTCGCTCTGTTTCAGGCACCTGGTTTTCTGCCTCTTGGACGTTCTGCTGGAGTTCTTGATGCTGAAGGGCTCCAGCGATGAGCTCGAGACCGCAGCTGTCGCGCCATCTGCGTCTAGTGGCCTGGACAAAGCAGGCATTTCAGCACATTAACCAGGGCTGGTGTAGCCAGCAGTGGAGGAGAGAAGCAGCCACAGGCATGGGATGATTTGATTTTCAGTGTTTACTGAACATGTCTGAGAGCTTCTTGTAAAGAATTTTTCCAGCCAGTGCTAAATGAGGCTGCTTCCAGGCTTCTCTGTTTTGGCTGGGTGATGGATTAAACCCAGTGTCAGGGGCTGAAGATGCTTTTCCACTGTGTAGCATCTGTTCCACTGCTGACCTGATGGAGAGCCTGGAATGAAGATGCCAGACCTCTGCTGAGCTGGACAGCGTGAGAAGGATATGCAGGCTGCCCACAAACCCTGTTGTCTCGCCCCACATTTCTGACCATCTCTAACAACTAAAGGCAGACAGCACAGAAGATTTGCTTTTGTGGCCTCAGGCTCTGACACTGGCACGCAGAGACTTGATGTGATGATATCTCTTCGATAGATGTTTCTCCAGGACAGGTGAAGGGAGGACCAAACGCTCTCCCTGCTCTCTAAGCAGCCTGCCCCTTGCTTACACAGCACCATCCGTTTTACCAGAAGGAAGACGGGGAGAGAATGGAGCATGGAGATGTGGTGATAGCCCTGAAGTCAGTCAGGGACCCATCCCCACCGCCCACACAACTGGGAGGTCGAAAGCAGTGCAGAAATCAAAGCTGCTGTCCTGCCTTAGGGACAGAGATAAGCTGCCTCCCGCTGCAAATGCTCTGATTTGGTTTTTTTCTGGCATCTTTTGGTGCAAGTAGACTGTGATCGTGGAAAAGAGAATTGACCCCGGGCTAAAGAGGAATGGTAGCTTAGCTGGACTTTAGGATTACCGTGTATTTTGCCTGCTGAGTCGTGTTTTAGTCCCAGACACTGTCACCTGGAAGGCGCAGGTGGAAAGGACGTGTGACACCCAGCGAGTAAGTCAGCTCCCACACGGAAGTGCTTGTCACAGCAAGCTCTGGAGGAGGAGCGAGCACCTCGGAGCCCAGGAGGGATCCCAGCCACATGTCATGGACAGCCAGCAGGTTAGACCACAGCAACGGGCTTGAGAACACCACCTTCGCTCTCGTGGGGATTGCTACGTCGCCATGCTTGGGTTTACTATTGCGACAGCTGTGTGCAAAGGGCTCTAGAAAGCTTGTCGGGTCCCAGTGTCCAGTGCCACCCGGCACAGAACGGCATATCCATTTGGCAGCTGCTTTTCCAGGTCATCCAAGACAGGTGTGGTTTTGCAAGCTTGTGCTGCCCAGCTGTCAGGCTTGTGACCGGGCAAATGGACACGGAGAATAAGGACACAGAGAATATGCACCAACAGACCAGTTTGGTGACCTGTATCGGTGTAATTCCTGGGAGAAATATGAACTGACCAGCGCTGGACTTTGCTGATCAAGGGGGTACTGGCATTGTCTGTAGATTAAGGTGCTTCAAAGAGAAGACCTCGGAAGAGGGAAGCGTGGAGGATCACAGCTAGTGTCCGTGTGACAGTACCAAGTGGTGCATTTCACACAGCGCGCTGTTTCTTGGAGCTGGATCCTCTGTGGCATGTTTGGGGAGAAGGCTGTGCAACTCCAGCATGCCTACTGCTGAGAGCAGAGGCTCTGCTTTTTCCAGAGGGAGCTGCTTAATAACGGACACGCAGCTGCTTGTGTGCTTCTTCCTGCTTCTGTTGTCTGTGTGCATGTATTGCATGTGTGAAAATACAGGGGAGGATTAGCTTGCTGCTAGCAGGTGTATTCTTAGGGAGCTCTAAGGACATCCCAAGACTAGGCAGAATCCATTGTAATGAAGCAAAGCAGTTTTGCATCGCTTACCAGAGCCATTTCTCAGCAGTGACACTTCTGAGGTGGCAGACTTGGCACCTGCTTGGAAAAGGAGGCGGTGGGTGTGTTAAGTAGCTTAAGAGTAGATTAGGCAAAGTGTTGGAGAATGCTCCATATGGGATGATCCCAAATGGCCAAGGAGCAGGTTGGGATGCAGGCTCCTGTTTCCCTTCTTTTTCCTACTACTTCCATTTACTACATCACCTGTCTTGAGGAGCAGGAGCAGGAGCGATCAGCCAGCGTTGATGTAACGTAGCCCTGTTGTTCTTGGTGGCTTCCCAGATGCTCTTGGTGTGCTTCCTTGCTTTCATTTGATGGGTTTGGAGCTCCAAGGTTGTGCTCTGTCATTGATTAGGGATATCATTAAGAGGCTGTTTGCTGAAAAGGCTCATTCAGAGATGGACTGTAAAACAGGCGCGGCCAGCTCCACATGAGAGCAAAGGTCTAGCACAGCCCTTACAGACACTGGATGTGATGTTGGAAGGACAAGCTTAGATTTCTCCTTTGCCAGGAAGCCCTAACATCCTTAACCCTGACCTCTGACGTTCTGCAAATGACTCAGTATTCAATCCTCCTGATGGAAAGAATTTGCGATTTCTGCTGGTAGGCTCTGAGGAGGACAGCTTGAGAGCCGGCACTTCGCTGGGATGGCACAGCAGTGATTTGGGGTCGTACCAGACAACTGCGTGGTCTCTGCACCTTTCACTCGGGGGGCCTCGAAGCCTGCACTTCGCTGACTTGCCAACATGGCAAAGTAGCAACATCTCCTCTGAGTTTACGTGGGAGGAGCCGGGGCAGGGAGAGATGAAGTAGGTTTACTTGCACACACTCTAAAGTCAGCGGCTGACTTGGGAGCAGACCCCAGGAGTTCGGATTGCAAGATCTTTGTTTTAATCTCCAGAACCCCTTTTCTTTCCTTAAAGCAAGGAAAACAGAAACCAGGGTTGCCAGAGCCCTTTCTCATGCTCTTACTGGCTAGGCTTCAAACTCCCATTCCCCTTCATAGATCTTAGTTCATTCTCACAGCTGAGGTGAAGCTGCCCAGGAACAGCATAGGAACAAGTAGCCCCTCACTGTATCTCGTTGTTAAGGCATACAAAATCCAATAAAAAGCTCAGCTTTCTTCTAATGCCAGTTCTTTGCCTCACTCTAATTTTTCAGATTAAATTGAGCATGACAGCGGCAAAGGCAAACTTCTGCATTCAGGTGGGCTGAGAGTTTATTTCCATTGGACTAAGACTAGAAATACCACTTTGGTAAAACAAACAAGGCCAACAGAAAAACTTTAACTCACTCTGTGTGTGATACTCCCATCAAGCTCCCTTTTCCCTGCAGGAATTTGTGCAGAAGGCTTTAGCCACCTCTTGCTAAAGGGAGGGTGGTGACGGCAGTGAGATTTGATCTCAGAAAAAAAAGTTGCAGGCTTTTGTCGTATTAGCTATAGGGCAAACGGTGCAGGGTTCAGGTGGGTGCTCAGCTCTCGAGATCCTACTGGACACCTGCAATCTGCTTCCAGCCCATTGCTTGCTGACTGTGTGGCATTGAGGAAAGCAATTAGTTTCCCCCAGTGCTGGCTCGTTAGACTGCAAGCTCCCTGGAAGCAGGGACCACTTGTGTGTGTGTACAACACAGAGCGTGGTGGTACAGAACTTCAAGGCCACCCCCATAAGCTAAATAGCAGTTGTGTTGAACCAGAGCTTGGGTTTTTTGATGGTGTTTATGGGGAAAAAAAAAAAAAGAGTGCCACCTTGCACTGACTCCCCGTTGTATTTGCTGTATTCAAACCCTTGTATCAGCTGCTTGTGGATGCAGCCATTCATGTCGGTGTAGAAAAGCACTGTCCTGAGAACCTGTTTTGTTGTTCAAAGGGGAGCAAAACGGTGCTCCCAAGCACTTGTGACTTACGTTCTGACTCGGTGTACAATAACACTCTGTTTCAAACTTGTTTCTGTGTTTGGGTTTAAAATTTGCCAAGAAGCTGCCTGGAAGACAACCATTGGGAAGGAAAGAGCAAGTAGGAGAGAGGCAAAAAAGCCCAGGTGGGAGTGGGGAGGAGGGAGCAGGCATCTCCCCAGGCGTCCTGAAACGCCTGGCTGGGGTAGCAGAGCTGGTGGCAACGGGTCTGGGACGGTGGTTTGCCCTCCTGGCACACAGTGACTTTAGTGGGACTGCGCAGACATGGGAAAAAACAAAGTCCTTGGCAGCTTGGTCAGAAATAAGAACAGTTTTACCATCTCTGGTAGCATCAGCTTTGCTTCTTTCTCCCTGACAAGTGAACTACTTGATTTAGGCTTTCCAGCGAGTGTGAAACCAGAGGAGTTACGTGGAGATCTTTGGCCTTTCTCCTGGAAAAAAGTGAAAGACACCCAGAGAAACAGGGGTTGTGCAGACCCATCTCCGCATCCCTTGGGTGCTGCTGCTGGGGAAGTTCACCTTGCTATCAGTCCTGGAGGAGGAAAGCTGGTAAGCTATAAGGAAATAGAGAATGTCTGAAAATGAGAAATTTGAAATATTACGTCGAAGAAAACAAAATAGAGGGAGGAGGAAAAACCTGATACAATAAATGCTTGAGTCATGTATTATTCCGGATTAGCTCTGCCACGGAAAGATCCTGTACACCCTATGAAATCCATTACCTACAAGCCAGTGAACATTTGTACAGCACATGATGCGGGGATCATAGCTGAAGCCAAGTTCCCCTGTATAATATCCACCCCGGGGTAGGTTGGTCCATTTCCAGTGTCAACAGCCAGAGGATTAAGCATTTATCTCTGCAGAAGAGTGGATAATTAATACCAGATCGAACCGGGGCTGCGCTCGAGAGAGCTTGCTTGTGACTATATTTGTGACTGAGTGCGGCTTTATTGCCTGCGGGGGAGTTTTGGGGAGTGGGATGGGGTTTTCTCTGGGGGAGAGCAGCAATAGCTCCAGGGCTTTGCGCTGGGATGGCATCGGGCTTCCCAAATGAAGCTGGGGGTGAGCTTCTCCCATCGTGGCCAAGGGGCAGGAGGCGTGAGGGGTGTAAACCCATCGGGAGACCTTTCCTTCTAGCTGAACACTGGAAGAATGGAATCGGGATGCTGTGACTTGCCATCCTCTGGATTTAAATGTAAAATCCAGCTTTTGGCATGTGTGGTTTTCTTGAAATAAATTAATACCATTGTCCTGGCCACAATCCAGTTCAGGTAATTATATTCTTCCTACCTTAATGCCACTCCAGCCCCCTGTCTCCACTGGATATGCTATACTCTAATTCCTGTCTGGAATTTGCTTATTATGTTACGAAGTCTTTTTTTTTTTTTTTTTTTTTTTTTTTCTCTCTCTCTGAGTACAACTTGTGCACAGAGCACTAGCCAGCCCCCAGCACATTGCTGAGCTGCTCAAACAGTCGAGAGAACCTGCCTTAGACATTTGATTGTGCCTGGTGGTGTCTGGGAGCATCTCTTCTGACTTGTAAGCCTGCTGTGCTGGGAAGATGGATAACATAAAAGATGGGAGCAGATGTTGCAGTCCTGTTTAACACAGTGGGCTCCTAGAAACCCCCTTCTCTTTTCTCAAAGAGCTTTAGGCTGGTGAGTGTGTTAATGGGAGGAAACTCAGGACTCCTGGGTGGTTGGGTTACCCTCCCATGTTGCCATTTCTTCAAAGATTTTTTGAAGACTCGAGTATGTCGTTACTGCCAGGTGGAAGTCCTCTTGTCTCTGAGGAGAATATTGGCAGTGTCTTTATGTACTCCTGGCCAAACCTCCCCGCTGATCTAGTGGAGCAGTCCTGCCTTGATTTGAGGTTAGCAGCCAGCCCTAGGAAACCCTGTTTCCTGCAGCACCTGAGCAATGCTAAAAGCTGCCTTTGAGTACCTGGTTTCCCTTTTGGAGCGCCGCTTGCTTGTCCGTGTTGGTGGCTGGCTGGCCCTCACATCTCCTGCAATTGATGCACTGGGTTGTTTTTTTCCCCTTTGAAAAGTATTTAAAGTCGCCTTCTTTCCTTGCCCTTTCAGTTACGCTCTCTTCATCTCCTGGCCTCGCTGAGTGGCTGAAAAGGTTGCTCAAGCAGTACTTGAGGAGAGCATCTTGCAATTCGGCATACTTCCTTCCTGTTCCCAGGCCCCTTTGCTCTTCCACGGCCCTCGAGGACAAGGGGGGGGTTGAGGGACGTGCTGGAGGAGGGACAGCAGGGGTGAGGATCAAAGACCATAAACCACTGTTTAAAAAAAATATAATGCCCACTGCTTCTCTGGAGTGTCGCATCTGGCAGAGCCTCATTAACCTTCTGTTTCCCCCTCCTACTCCTTTGCCCCTGAAAATCAACAAAGCCAAACATAACAAGTTGCCTTGATTGAAGAAGGCCGAAGTGTGTGTGCTTAGTGTGAAAAAGCAAAAGCAAAGCCATTGGCTAAAGCCCCTTTTCCATGCAGGCCACTTCACATTTATTACGCCAGAAGACGGAGCTCTTTAAATCCCGATGCTCTTTATAGTTGAGCTCTTTAACTTTCTCCCTTCCTCCCCTTACAGCCTTCATTCTCCCCTTGTTCCGCTCCTTCCGCTCCGCTCCTTTTTCTTTTGTCCTGTGAGAAGGAGTCTTTTAATCCCCTTGTACTGCAGATTAAAGCTATTATAGCCTCCCCAACCTGACATTTTCTCAGAGAGGCTCACAGCCAGATCTTTATGAGTGCTCTCCGTCTGTCTGCTGCTGCCTTTCTTCTCGGCACACTAAACCTCCGTTCCTGACCTTTCCTGAAGAGGGAAGGGCTGTAGCGTGCAATCCCGTGTAGGCAGAGGCTGGTCTCAGCGGGGCTCAGGGTGCAGGAAATTAAGACCCATGAAAATTAACAAGTAAATAAGGAGAGAAAGAAAAGACGGTGGGAATTAAGAGACGGAACCAAAGCAAAATTCAGCGTGTTTGGAAACCAAATGCTGGGCTTGGGTCTGAGTTTTGCAAATGGTGCTGTCTTTACGAGCGGGCAAACCATAGACCTGGGACTCCTTTTTAGTAGCAGGTCGGGGTTACCCAAAACCTAAGCTACAGTCCAACGCCGCATCTCGCCCAAGAATAACAGATCCAGGCGCCTAGAAGCGCGCAGGTAAACGCCGAGTTTGTGAGCTTTCAGGGGCAGTAGTGACTTCCAGTACTATGAGGCTTTGGCCACGACAGTGCATTTCTTAGTATTTGTCATCAAATGAGTGTACCTCACCTCTGAGTTTGCAGAGTGGGTCGTTGTGCTGGCCCTTGTCTTGTACACATCGTAAAAACACAAAGGATCAGGGTAGCTTGCCTACAAGTGCGTGTGCTAATGGCAGAAACATCTTTCCTGTGGAGTTTTCTGGCTCTCTTCATCAGTCCTGCCGCTGCAAGGTGTCCGCAAACGTCCCAGAGTTCTTGGCAAAGCACCAGGGAAGGTGAAAAACTGGCCCCGTGGTACATTCCCCAGAGAAACGGTGTAAAATTAGCCCAAACGGGCCCCTCCCAGGTTCGTGTACAACCATACAAGGATGCATTAGCGAATAGGAGAGGTGTTTGCTGCTAACGTGCTTTTTGAGCAGGGAGGAGGCAGTTTGGGTTCCTCGTCTCTCGGACCTCCTGCATGAACTTGCCCCGGTTGTTTTCAGCCATCGTTTCGCCCAGCTGCAAAATGGGGTCGATAAGCTGACCCAGAGCTGTGCAGGCATCCTAACACTGCAAAGCTCTGGGTGCTGTGCTAACCCCTTCAGCTTGAACCGGGGAAAATCATGCCATACCGATGGCAAGGGAGTACAAAAGGTCAAATTTCGGTCCTGCAAGGCTTTACTTGCATCCATTTATACGTGGGTTATGTTTTAGCTCCCCTGTAAAAGGACAAACAGAGAATTTGCTGATCTCCAAAAGCACCTTGCGAGCACAGCCTTCCCAAGTCACGCGTGGGGTTAGGAGATGCCTGAAGGGTTGATTCCACACCTCCAGGTTTTGCTGAAGCAGGCGGTGGCCGCATAGAAGAAGGTTTCCCGTTCTCACGGGCAGCAGCAGCGCGGCGCTGACAAGCCAGCTCACCGCATTTGTGCTCTCCCACCGCGCGCCCGAGCGAACGCGGAGGCTTCTGGGGGGCGGCAGCGAAATTGCTTTCGAAGCAAATAATAAAAGAAGTTGCAACTGTCCCCTTTCGCAAACTCGTTTCGGGGCAAAAGTTCCCCTGGCAGCCCAGCTTGCCGATAATGAAATCGAAACAGGAGCTCACCCCCAGAGGGGCCGTGTGTGTGAAACACTGCCATGTCGAATCCATGTGAATCCTCCGTGAGGAAAGCCCGAGCCCTGTAATTACTGGTTTTCTAGCAAGCAGCCTTTTCTTTCTCTTTGTGTGGGCCCGGTCCCCCCGCTCTCCCCACCCCCCCCCGCCCCCGTGCGCGCATGATAAGAGGATATTTGTAATGAAAAATCACTGGGCAGAAGCAGAGAACAAAAGCGGGGGCACGGCGTGCTCGCCGGTGGGGATATTAGAGGCGCTGGGCTCCCACCTCCGTCCGGTCTGCTCTCCGCTGGGAGAGCGCGGTGGGCACGGCGGGCTGGGGAGGCTCTTATTAACCTTAATCTGCAGAAAGGGGCTGAAGCCACGCCGTGGCCCGGTTTCATAGCTACAGCGGCTCGCTCCCAAGCGTGCAGCCTTATGAAGGGGCAGTCTCCCCAGCAACTCGTAATGCGTTTTTGCACCGGACCGTCTAATCTGAGGTAGAAATGTCACCGCCGTCAGACCCCAGGCTGGCAGCTCCCAGCCACGGCCGCGCTGGTAAGCACATATCCAGCTTCAACCTTCTGGTTGCTGGGGTGAAAGGGCCTCTTCATCTCCGCGGGGAGAGGCAGATGAATCCCGGGCTCAAACAAGGGACCTGCTTTTTTTTTTTTTTTTTCCCCCCCCTCCTCACCAGACGCTCCCCCTCCGGTTCAAGGGCTCTTTATTATGTCTTTTAATTCTCAGCT